AAAATGAACACAATTATGCTTAACCTAAATTGAAGGGATTTTCGTCTGCTCAAAAAAAAATTTTTTTTTTAACCATTTACTCTGTGCCAGTTTCTGGGCAGGCACAGGGAAGACCATAGCAAAGAAGACTCTGGATTCCCTGCTCTGAGGGAGTTGGGAGGGGGACAGAGAGGTTCAAAAGCACCCATAGTGAGACCTGTCCAGTGTCAAAATCTTTATGGAGACCTAGAGCAGAATGTCAAGTCTGATTGAGGGGTGGGTGGCAGGGGTGCAAAAGACAACATCCCAGGAGAAAAGAAAGCTGAGCTGAGATCTCAATAATGAGGGGGAATTAGTCAAATAGATGTTCCAGGTAGAGGATGCAGCAGAAGGAACTGCAAGTCTTTCAGTATTATCAGAGTTTAGGGGCAGGTGGCCTTGGAGACATGAGGCTAGAGAAGTGGGCAGAAGCCAGATTATGAAGACCACTATGAGCCACACTCATATGGACTTTATCTGAAGTATGGACTTTATCTGAAGGCCGGGCAGTGTTTGGTAAACTGGAAAGCCCATGAAAGTCCAAGCTTCATTATTAACTTGAGTGCTTGTGTGGAAAAAGGTGCCCTGATCCAGTACCTATAACTACATCCGGTCTGTGATCAATTTTTTTTAAGTGTGTCCTTCATGCTGTTCTCTAGTATTTAGGTGCAATTGAAAATAGAGTTACCTTTGCTTCAAGCCCTGGAACTGAGACTTTCTATACACGTGAGATTCAGTGATGCTCAGGGTGCTTTTTGTCAACCAGGGCTCATGGTGTAGTTCTCCAAAGTATAGGGGGAAAAAAGGAGCAAGCACGTTCTTCCTCTTGGCTCCGTGTCTGACTTTTGAACACCTGAGGTGGCTCTGTGAGTTAATGCACTGGACTGCAAAATTGGTTTGAACCACAAGGTTGGTGGTTCAAGCTCACCAGTCACTCCTCGGAAACCTTAAACAGGGTCGCTCTGAGTCAAAACTGACTCGACAGCACTTAACAACAACAACTTCATCCTATGGAGTCCTGATGTGGATAAGCACTAGACCACAAAGTCAGCTTGAACTACAAGATCAGTGATTTAAACTCACCAGTCGCTCCTCAGAAACCCTATACAGAGTCACTATGTATACAACAGCACTTAGTAACAACTCCATCCCATAAGTGAAGTGAACGTCAAAGGGTTTAAGTGGGAAAGGGGTAGAGTCTCCTTTATGTTTAAAGACAAACCTGAGGACAGCATGCAAGGTGGACCCCGTGAGAAGGCAGAGAGTGGGTAACACAATGTGGGCTCAATTGCAGAGAAGATGTGTGGGCGAAGCAATTAGACTGAACCCCTGGGGCTGTTGGGAGATGATAAAGGATGAAAAAGAGTCAATGATGCCCCCAAGCAAATTAGGTAAATGGTGGTGCCTTTGATTAAGATGGGAGCTTGGAAGGCAGCCAGGTGAGTTTCAGGAGACGGTGGAATACCCCGTAGTAACTGCATCCAGTAAGCAGTTGATATAAGGGCCTGGGTCTCAAAATAGAGCATGGTAAGAGATACATATTTGGAAATAATTTCACATCAGTTATAGTTCAAATCAGGAGGGAACAGTCGCTGGAGAAGGATATCATGTTTGATACGGGGGAGGGTCAGAGAAAAAGAAGAGGACCCCCAGCGAGATGGATTGGCAAGGTGGCAGCATCAATGGGCTCAAGCGTGGCAACAATTGTGATGTTGGCCCAGGATCGGGCAGTGTTTTGTTCTGTTGTGCATAGGGTCGCTATGAGTCGGTACTGACTCAATGGCACCTAACAACAACAACAACATAGGTAAAGTCAGACAATTGGAACAGATAACAGAGTAACCTGTAGAATAAAGAAAGAATTTAAGGGACAATACAAATGATTGCCGTGGTGGTTAGTTGGTGGTGAAATGCCACTGAGTTGGTTCTGACTCATAGCAACCCTATTTAGGGTTTCTGAGGCTACAAGTCTTTATGGGGGGGCAGAAATTCTCATCTTTCTCCCACAGAGAGGCTGGTAGATTTGAACTGCTGACCGTACGGTTAGCAGCCCAATTTGTAACCCACCACGCTACCAGGGCTAGTATTCTAATTATAGAAAAAAATCAATTTTCATAGATCTGAGGCATTCGTACTCAGTTTGTAAGAAGCAGAAAAGTTCATGGCAGGTGAGGAGGTGGAGGTTGAGCCACAGTCTGTCACGCCAAGGAGTTCAGTCATGATGGAGGTTATGGAGGTGCTAGGGTCGGGAGAAGGGGACTCATATAAGGGAGACTTGACCACAGCAGTGGCAAAGGTACAAAAGGTCGCAAAGCCAAGAGAAAAGAGATTGAGGACCAACATCCTGGAAGAGGCAAGAGATGGTGGAAAGGTAAGGATGAGGGCTCAGTAGCACATTACAGACTTTCAGAGGTGTGGGAGCAGCAGTCTTCAGGCATTCTCTTCAAGTAGTTTCTACTCCAAATACATGTTTCTAACTGGGTTGTCTTACCACAAGACTGTTACTCCTCAAAGCCAAAATATGTCCTTGCTTTATGCTGGCGAGCTGGTAGCCTTCTGTTTCCAGGAAAGAAGAACCTTCTCGTGATCTCTAAAGATGGAAAGAGGATGCATAGAATTCAGTTCTGGAACTTTCTTCTAAACTTAGATCCATATGGTATTGCTGTTGTTAAGTGCCATCAAGTCAGTTCTGACTCATGAGATCCTATGTAGGGTTTCCTAGGAGTGGGTAATGGGTTTGTACTGCCAACCTTGTGATGATCAGTCCAGTGTTGATCCTACAGCACCACACCAAGACTCCTTATCCATGTAATATCTTTTTTTAATCTCAAGAGGCATTTTCTCAATGCAGTAACCAGCTCCCAGATGGCCTCTTGGGATTTAAACTCTGGATAATCTGCTCCCTAGGAGCTCTGGTAGCGTAGTGGTTATGAATCGGGCTATGAACTGCAAGGTCAGCAGTTAAAAACTACCAGCTGCTCTACAAGAGAAAGAGGAGGCTTTCTTCTCCCATAAAGATTTACAGCCTCGAAAACCCTGTTCAGGGTCGCTATGGGTCGGAACCTACTCGACAGCACTTAACAACAACAACAATCTTCTCCCAGGCTGTACTAGGGTAGGTTTGTGGGGTGAATAAGGGAGAAGTGGTGGTTCATCACTTCCAACATTTACTTACAACTGACTGTGTCTTCTGTTTTGGGCTCTCTCCCTCTTACCTCTCACAGTTCACTCTGGGGAAAGCCAGTAGTCATGTTTTGAGAACATTCAGACAGCCTGGTAGAAAGTCCAATCAGAGGGACTTAAAAAGAAGCTCCTCAATATGACATCTATGAAAAAAATGGGCTACCAACATGAATGAGCTTGGACCTGGAATCCTCTGCCAAAGACAAGCCTTCAGATGAGATCACAACCCTGGTCCACATCTTGTCTGCAACCTCATGAGTCACCTGAGCTAGAACCACCAGCAAGGCTGTCTCTGGGTTCCTGGCCTTCAGAACAAATGCTTGAAGGTGAGATGACAAATTTTCATGGTGGTAAGATGCTGAATTATGGAATAATTTTGCCACATAAGCTAATTGATGCTCCAAAAATGGTTATTAATCGCATTCACCAGATTTATTTCCAAATGACTTCTGGCTACTTGCAAAGCTGTATCCAAGTGCAAATATTTGTTACCACTAAAAAGAATCAACCAGGGTCCTGGTGACTCAGTAGGTTAAGCATTTGGCTGTTAACCAGAAGGTTGGCAGTTTGAACCCAGCATCCATTCTGCAGGAGAAAGATGAGACCATCTACTTTTGTGAAGATTGGCAGTCTCAGTACACCTAATGGGCAGTTCTGTCTGTCCTCTAGTGACTACAGGCCACAATTGACTTGACAGCAGTGGGTTTGATTTTGGGTTAAAGGGATTCAAATGAACTGGCAAAAAATTCTGAAGCTAAGTACAAAGGAAAAGTTCAAGATTATTTTTCAGCAGTGGTAACACTGTTAAAATGAATGTGTGCTCCCCCCAAAGCGACAACTTGAGAAAGATACAAAATGTAAGCTATTCATTATTATTAGTATTATTCAAGTGCTATAATTTCATCTAAACTAGAGTGTGGCTACTAAGGACCAGACCTTGAGCCCAATGACTTATCTGTGTTATTCACTTTAACGGGAGCTTTGAACATTGTGTGAATTTCCCAATTCTTCTAGAAAACAGCAAGGGATGACATGGAATTTAGAGTCTGGTAGAACCTTTTTAAGGCTTTCTTCACTACCCGTATCCTGGATCAAAATTCTACATTAGTCCTGTAGCTTAAACAAGTTACACAAACTTACTAAGCCTCAGTTTGCTCACCTCCAAAATGGGAAGAAACTTAGTATTCCCTCACAGGATGGTTATGAGGGTTAAATTGTGTTCATTACTACAAAGTGAGCACCCTGACACAAAGTAAGTTGTGGGATGACATCAAGAGCATCATACAGGATGAAAATAAAAGGTCATTAAAAGATAGGAAAGGAAGGAACAACTCTGAAACTTGCTCACCAGCATATAGAAACTAAAGGGAATGGAAGAGATGAGGAATTAAAGAGCTGAACAGTAAATTTCAAAGGGCAACTCTAGAAGACAAAGTCAGGTATCATAATGAAATGTGCAAAGACCTGGAGTTAGAAAACCAAACACACATACACTCAGCATTTCCCAAGCTGAAAGGACTGAAGAAAAAATTCAGACCTCGACTTGGATTACATGGGAATAATATTGAGTAATGCAGAAAGCATCAAAAGAAGATGGAAGGAATACATAGAGACACTGTACCCAAAAAGAAATGGTCAATGTTCAACCATTTCAAGAGGTAGCATATGATCCAGTGCAATGGATGTTAGTGAAAGAAGAAGTCCAAGGTGCACTGAAGGCATTGGAGAAAAACGAGTCTCCAGGAATTGATGGAATACAAATTGAAATCTTTCAACAAACTATGCAGCATTGGAGGCGCTCACTCATCTGTCAAGGAAATTGACAGACAGTTACCAGATCAACCAATTGTAGAACTCCATATTTGTGACCACTCCAAAGAGATGTGGCCCAATGGAATGTGGAAATCATCAAACAATATAAATAATACACATGCAAGTAAATTCTTGCTGAAGATAATCCAAAAACAGTTGCAATGGTACTTCAACAGAGAAATGCCAGAAATTCAAGCCAGATTCAGAAGAGAACGTGGAACTGGAGATATCATTGCTGATGTCGGATGAATCTTGACTGGAAGCAGAGAATACCATAGAGATTTTTACTTCTGCTTTATTGACTGCAAAAACTTTCAACTGTATAGATCACGACAAACTATGGATCACACTGAGAAAACAGGCATTCCATAACACTGCATTGTGTTCAGGAGGAACCTGTACACAGACCATGAGACAGTTGTTTGAACAGACCAAGGGGATATTGAATAGTTTAAAAGGTGTGTGCCAGGGTTGTATCCTTTTACCCTACGTATTCAATCTGTATGCCGAGCAAATAATTCGATAAGCTGGATTATATGACAAACAGCATGGCATCAGGATTGGTGGAAGACTCATTAGCAACCTGTGATATGCAGATGATACACCCTTGCTTGCTGGAAGTGAAGAGGACTTAAAATACCTACTGATGAAGATCAAAGACTACTGCTTTCGCTATGGATTGTACCTCAATGTAAAGAAAACAAAAATCCTCACCACTGGGCCAATAAATAACATCAGGATAAATGGAGAAATGATTGAAGTTGTCAAAGATCTCATTTTGCAATAGACACCCATGGAAGCAGTAGTCAAAAAATCAAAGGACATATTGCATTAGGCAAATCTACTACACAAGACCTCTTTAAAATGCTCAAAAGCAAAGGAGTTATTTTGAATACTAAGGTGCATCTGACCTAAGTCATGGTGTTGTCAGTAATCTCATATGCATGTGAAAATTGGACAATGAATAAAGCAGACTGTAGAAGAATTAATTCATTTGAATTATGGTGTTGGAGAAGAATATTAGAAGTACTAAGACTGCCAAAAAAAAAGAAAAGAAATCTGTGTTGGTAATAAGTACTGTCCAAATGCTCCTTAAAAGCAAGGATGGTGAAATTTAGTCTCTCAGATTTCAGACATGTTATCAGGAGGGACCAGTCTCTGGCGAAGAACATCATGCTTGGTAAAGTGGAGGGTCAGAGAAAAAGACAAAGACAGTCCCCTACCCCCAGTAAGGCAGACTGACACAGTGGCAGCAGCATTGGACTCAACGCCAATTATACCAACAACTGTAAGGATGGTACAGGACTGGACAGTGTTTTGTTTTGTTGTGCGTAGGGTTGCTATGAGACAGAACTGATTCAAGGGCACCTAACAACAACAATAAGTACCCCCAATGGGAGGGATTGATACAGAGACTGCAGCAATGGACTCATTGTGTGGATGCCAGAGGACCAAGCAATGCTTCATTCTGTTGTGCATGGGGTGGCTATGAGCGAGAACCGACTCAACAGCACCTAACATTAACAATAAGCTAAGATGTTGATTATTAAGCAATTCTTCACCTAAATAATCAGGTAACACAAGTGGTTTCCCAAGTTATCACGAAGATTAAATGAGAAGTAGTTCTTTCCCCAAACAAAATCAAACTCACTGCCATCGAGTTTGTTCTGAATCATAGTGATCCTGTATGACAGAATAGAACGGTCCTATAGGCTATCTGAGCCTATAAATCTTTACGGAAGCAGATTGTTACACCTTTGAAGACCAATTCATAACCCATTACACCACCAAGACTCCTTGGATCTACACAGAGGAGGCACTAAATAATTTTGTTTTGTCCCCTGATTTAGAAGTCCAGTTGAGTATGGAAGACAAAGGGGACATTGAAAGAGTTTGGGCTGTTCTGAAAATTCAGAAAACAGGTCTGTGCTGACTTCCTGAGGCAGATTTGATATGTCAACCCCAGGTAACTTTTAAATGAGTGAACGAATCAAGATTAAGACTCTCATGGTTTGCAATAAAGTTTAGACAGTATCATTCCTTCCATTTCATTTTAAGTATTCTATCTTTCAGGGGTTTGATGCTCATGAAGTGACTTCAACAGTGTCTTGATGTTCAGAGAAGGGTCTACAGGGCTTGGGAGGTCCTCTGGGAGAAAATTGAACCACATACCTGGTGATCTTTCATAATATTGTTGACTACTGGATTCATGAGGAGTGAGACCTGTAACACATTGACAATCATAAGGCAACCCCCCTCCCCAACTTCCAGAATGTTCTGTGATTTTATTATTGATGCCACAAATATGCAAGATGTTTGGGAGATCACCAAAGAGTTTTGCCACCATCACTACCATAGGGGAAAGTCTCAGGAACATGGAAAACATTAGTCCAATTCCATATAACCTCAAAAAAGAGACCATACAAGAAGAAAAGAGATGGACTCGCTCTTTCAGCACCAAGACACTCAAAATGATGGTCAACTCTAATCATAGAGGATCACAGAGGTCAGCCATAACTGGTTGAACGAGGTCTAGTCCTGACCTTCCCACTACATATTACGGAGTATCTGGGTCCAAAAGTGAATGGGCCACATGTACCCCAGAGGGAACAGGTAAGCCCAAGACATGGGTCCTCTTAGGGAGAAAACCAACACTGGTCTTTCTATTTGACAGCAATGCTGCAGCCATCAAAGAAAGCAAGAATGGGAAAACTCCAAACAAAAACCACACCATCAGGTTTATTCTAACTCATAGCAACCCTACAGGACAGACTCTAACTTCTCTGTAAGGTTTCTGAGACTGTAAGTCTTCACGGGAGCAGACAGTCTCGTTCTCCCTCAGAGCGGCTGATGGGTTTGAACCACTGACCTTTCAGTTAGCAACCCAATGCTTAACCCATTATACCACCATGATAAAAGAATATCTATATGAACAGTTGTTTCCTTGTTGCCTACTATGAAGAAAGAAGCAAAAGTAAATGCTATTTTCTTTAATTTCTGTATTTTCAAGGGTTATATATGTGTATTTTCAGTTTCAAACACAGTCATTAACAAAGAACTATCATATGAATCTGTTTCAAGAAAAATTTTTAAACAGCCCTCAACTTACCTTGTAGAAAATTGTTTCTCCATTTATAGGCTCTCAGCATGTCCTCAAAAATCATCTAGATAAATGTAGGCACCAACATGTGTCAGCACATGTATCAGCATAAAAAAGATCAGAAGGGGGGGAAATATTTTTATACAGTTAAGAAAAAAAATCAATATTATCAAATTCGGGAGTTTTCCCTCTCTGAAATCCCCACGTTGTGTTGAGTTAGGAAAAGATATGAGCAGTCTTCATGAATGTGTTGAATTAGGAAAAGGTGTGAGCGGGGTCTTCATGAAGATGCTGGGAGATGCCATAGTCACAAAGCAGGGTGGCTGTTTGGCTCACAGTCCTTCTGATGAGTGTCTGGGCTACCTGTTACCTTCTTCATCCTGAACACACATAGGTAGTCTCCTGGCCACCATCACAGTGATTAATTAGTCTAAGATGGATGTATGCCAAAAAAAGTCAAATAGGACAAGAACAGTCTTTTCGCAACAGGATGTTGAGATTGTCTCTTGCAGAACCCCTGAATCACACCATATAGAAAAATGAACTCAATATGGATCATAAAACTAACCATAAGAATAAAATTATAAAACTCTTAGAAAACACAGCCTATTGTTCTGTTGTGTCTGAGGTTGCCAAGAGTCAGGGGCTGGTGTGACAGCACACAACAGTAGCAACAACTGTATGTCAAACATGGTCCTAGACTATCAAAATGAAACATCCCCTGTCCTTATGAGACACACATTCTAGTATGGAAAATAGTCAACAGACAGACAAATGAATATGTCCCATCATTTCATGTAGAAAAATACTGATTTTACAATATTACTGCAAAGCAGTCAAGGAGATTGAGAGAAAATGAGAGTATCCTGCCATTCTGAATATCTGCTGTGGCACTGTGGGTTAATGCACCAGACTGCAAAGCTGCTTCTCGGAAACCCTATCCAGGGTCGCTATGGGTCAGAACCAACTCAATGGCACTTAACAACAACAATATTCTATACTAGACCCTAGACCAGAGCTTTCAGACACATCATCTTACATGACTCAATGACCTATGTTGTCATTGTTTTTATTGTCATAGGTGCCATCAAGTCAGCTCCAACTCCTAGTGACCCCTATGCACAACAGAAGGAAACACTGCCCGGGCCTACGTCATCCTCACTGTCGTTGGTCCTCACTGTCAATGATCCTCACTGTCGTTGGTCCTCACTGTCGTAGGTCCTCGCTGTCATTGATACTCACTGTCGTTGGTCCTCATTGTCGTTGGTCCTCACTGTCGTTGCTATGTTTGAGACCATTGTTGCAGCCACTGTGCCAGTCTATCTTGTTGGGGATCCTCCTCTTTTTTGATGACTCTCTGCTTTATTAAGCATGATGTCCTTCTCCAGGGACTGGTCCCTACTGATCACATATCCAAAGTACATGACAGGAAATCTCACATCCTCATACTGTTCCCATTTAACACGTAAAGTATCTGAGGATCATGAAGGTTAAAGCTAAGTGGTTGAGCTTGGGTCACTCCAGTGACCACTGACCCAGTGCCAAGAAGTTACAGATTTAGATCTAATCCTTTGAAGATATGCTAGCTGCTACTTTGAGCTCCTGTTGCAAATCTTAAGGGAAAGAGGGTAGCAAGAGACTTGGCTGGAAGAAACAGGAGACTTTAGAAATGAACTGGTGTGTGTAAAAGCGGAAAAATCAAATGAGTTAGCAGAGCTACGTTAATCCATACCTGAGTGATTTTTCAAGTAGTGTACCACAAAACAAATTCATTAATAAATTTTAGGAAAGCAATTGTTGCCAGAGAGTGGATTCTGACTCATGGTGACCTACGCCCCCATGTGTGTCAGAGTAGAACTGGGCTCCTTCGGTTTTCAATGACTACCTTTTCAAAAGTACATTGCCAGTCCTTTCTTCTGAAGTGCCTCCAAGTGGATTCAAACCATGAACCTTTCAGTTATCAAGGAATATGTTAACTATGTGTGGCAGCAGGGACTCCTACTTTATCACACCATTTGGCTTTTCACAGACCCACATAGGCCCTAACTGTCACTGGCGGACAGGAGCTCCAACCCCTGGTCTTACCTCTTCACTGCTGTCCGACTCAGAGCTGGATGACCAGCGGCAGTGGACCCAGACATCCCGTACCTGGTGTGCAGAGACCTGCACAGAACTTCTGCAGACAGCTACTGGCTGGAAATGACAGACAGTGAGTTACACCTCCAGCTGCTCTAGAAAAGATTAGGGTCTTCCCAAGAAATCACACAATACTACAGGGTGAAAACAGAACATAGAAAGGAAAACTTTACAGAGAGGGATTTCATTTCTCCAAAATGGAAATGTCTCAATACCTGAGCAGAAACACATGAAATATTTCAATAGCTTTTTGGAACTTCAAAGGAGCTCTGCTGGTATAGTGGGTTGAATGTTGGACTGCTAGCCTCAAGATCAGATGTGTAAACCCACGAGTTATTTTAGGGGAAAAGATGAGGCTTTCTGCTCCTGTAAAGATTCACTGCCTCGGAAACCGAGAGAGCAGTAATTTTACTCTTCCTTTCAGGGCCGGTTTAAGTTTGATTAAACTTTTGAAGCTTGATACATCACAGGCCTCCTGAGTACACACATCCCCCTCTTAAGCACTGAGGGCCATTTCCCATCTGAAAAAAAAGGAATGGTTACAAATCCCAAAGGACTCTCTTCCTCTTTGACCTCTGATTTCCTTACCGCTCAATGCCTGCGACACTTCATAAACCAGGTTTCAGTGAAGTTTCATGAAACAAATAACAAAAACAAAGAATCACCCTTTTTCAGAATTTTCATCATTATAAACCAAAACCAATGGCCAACAAGTCAACTGTGACTCGTGGCATCCGAGTGTGTGTCAGAGTAGAACTGTGTTCCACAGAGTTTTCAATGGCTGATTGTTTGGAAATAGATCAATCATTGGGTCTTTTCTCCAAATTGCCTGTGAATGAATTTGAACCTCCAATCTTTCAGTTAGCAGACAAATGCATAACTGTTGGCAACAACCAAGGACTTTACATAGTTGTGAAGTGACCCTAATAAGAAGAGTCCAAGGACTCTGCTTCTGAATCTGACCACTTAGGAGAGTTAGCATTGGGTTGATGCTGTCCTGTTCAGGATTCATATCCATAGATGTTAGTTAAGGCCCATCCCATGTTCTGGTCACTGAGGATACAAAAAAATGAACACAATCTCATGAACCTACAAAATAATGCAACATGCATTATTTGAGGTTTATTTATATTTGTTGTTGTTGTTGTTAAGTGCCATCGAGTCGGGTCCGACCCATAGCGACCCTGTACAGGGTTTCCGAGGGTGTAAATCTTTACGGGAGTAGAAAGCCTCATCTTTCTCCCGTAGAGCTGCTGGTAGTTTCGAACCGCTGACCTTAAGGTTCACAGCCCAATTCGTAACCACTACGCTACCAGAGAATTTGAAATGTCTGTGTGGTTTTTCTTTGGTGCTGATCTCTTTGCCTTCACTCTGTCTGAAACCACCACAAAGGAGCAGGAAGGAGCCTGAAGCAACGTGGGGTCCCTCAAGACCACAGCCCAAGGTCCAGCAACAGAACCAAGGGTACTGCCCAGTGAGGCAACCCAGTCAGTGGTCAGGGTTTGTAACTTCTGAGTCAACTCTGCATCACAAAGTAAGATGCAGCTTTTCCTTACAATTGGGGTTGTGGCACAGTAAGGTATACACTGGACTGCTAACTGTAGGGTCACCAGTTCAAACCCATCAGCTACTCCTCAGAAACCCTATACAGGAATGCTATGGGTCAAACTGACTCAACAGATCCTGACAACAGCAACCATACTTACCACATAGAATCCCCTTTGGAAGTCACAGATAGAGGGATCTTCGCTGGAATCTCTCCTGCATACAGTTTCTCGAATACTGAATTCTATGTCCATGCTCAAGTTGTCCTCATCCACGACACTGACCTTCACAAAAATAAGGGTATTTCTGAAGGGTCCAATACTTTGAAATACTTTCCCTGCATGGTGAGTATGCGTTGACAGGATCACCCACCACTATTAAAGCTGTAAATGTTTGTGGTAATACCCTAGTCATTGTCCTCGTTCCACAGACCAGAGACTAGAGACCCGAGAGAATGTGATGTACCAAAGTCAAACAGAGCCAAAACTCAGGTGTTCAATTCCAAAGCAAGAGTTGCTTCTATCAACGGAGAAGAGCCGAGAGCGGGACCCTACCCAGAGAAGCAGTGAGGCCCGAGATGGAGGCAGAGATGATGACGTGGAGTGATGAAGAGGCTGGGGACTTTGCATCCAGAGAGGGAGAGGGACTGTGTGCTGAAGAATTGGGGAGGGAGTGTAGGGGGTGGGTTTATAGGGTATACCCTTTGGTTGGTTGATGATGCATGGAGGGGATTGGAACCATGGCAATGAAATGATGTACGGTGGAATGAATGTAAAACTAAAGTTCTCCCATGTAAAATATCATATAATTCACAATAAAACATGGGGGGGGGGGGGAAGAGTTGCTTCTAATGGTCTATGGTGACATATTTTTTTATATTCTTTTCCAAATGCTCCATCATTCCTGAGTAAGTTGCTAAGTGACCTGTCCAGTCCTTGCGTCTGCTTGATGAATTCTAATCTGTACACAAGGCTACACGCTTTCTACCACTTTCCACCAATGTGAGCGCATTTGCTAAGGAATTGTGAAGTTCTAGGGACACAGAAGTCTCTGTCATTTATTGAGGGCCATTGTGTGTTCCTGGTGTGGCACTGCGGGTTAATGTGCTGGACTGCAAAGTCAGTTTGAACCGCAAGGTCAGCAGTTCAATCTCACCAGTCGCTCCTTGAAAACCCTATACGGGGTGATATGAGTTAGAACTGACTTGATGACACTTAACAACAGTTGTGTGTCCAAGGAGCCCTGCAGTGGTTAAGTGCTTGACTGCTAACCAGAAGGTCAGTGGTTCAAACCTATCAACAGTTCCTCAGGAAAAAAAGACCTGTCCATCTGTTCTTAGAACTATGACAGCCTAGGAAACCCTATGGGGAGGTTCTAATCTGTCACACAGGGACACTATGAGTCGAAATTGGCGACAACAGTCTTGAGTGCTCAGCACTGTCTTTGTTCTCTAGTGTGCTATAACAGAAATACCATAAGAGGGGACAGGGCTTTAACAAACAGACATTTTGTCTCTCACAGTTTAAGAGGTCAGAAGTCCAAATTCAGAGCGCTGGTTCTTAGGGAAGATTTTCTCTTTGTTGTATCTGGGGAAAGGTCCTTGTCTCTTTTCAGCATCTGTAGCCCAAGTACTTCTTGGAAAACTCCATCCACCTTCATATTAATCTTCCCCAGGATCTAAGAGTTTCACAGTTCAGGGACCCCAGGTCCAAAGGACACTTCCACTCCTGGCTCTTCTGTCTTGGTGACTGTAGGCCACTCTTCTCTACTCAATTCTCTCCTCGTTTATCTCTTGTCAGATAAAAGATGTTGCATGTGATGCCCTTGAAAATCTCCCAGGGTGGTGGTGGATTAGGAGCTAGGCTGCTAACCACAAGGTCAGTAGTTCAAATCTATCAGTTGCTCCGTAGGACAAAGATGAGGTTTTCTGCTCCCCTTAAAGGTGTACAGCCTTGGAACTGTTATGCAGGGTCAGTCGCTATGAGTCCAAACTGACTCAGTGGCACACAACCACCACCACCGTACCCTCAATCCTCTTCTTGGTTTGTCACGTCAAATCAGTTCATGAAGGATAGCTACATCTCAGCCACCAAGCCACTGAGAACCCTGACACAGTCAACTTGACACGAAGCCTTAATTAGCACAAGCAGCAAAGCACTACTGTCTTTTTCTCTGTGTTCCTCTCCTGTCTCTCTCTCTTTCACGTCCCCTAGTAGAATCTGAGCTCTGGGACAGCAGTGGATTGCTCTGTCCTCTTCACCCTCCTCTGCATCTTCACCATCTTGTCTGAGTCCACCTTCAGTTTCCCCTGCTGTGCCCACTGAGGGAACAGGCTGGAGAACCCAATGGCACAGTGGGAGTGAAAGCCTTCATTTCTTATGTCACATTCTTTCTTAAATTAGGAGCCTAGAGCTAAGTAGTTGAAAATATAGCTGTGAGAGGATTGGATCCAGGCAAAAGCCACTGGTTTTCAACCTGGAATCCCCCTCAGAATCACCAGAGAATTCCAATTTAATCAGCCCACTAGGAGTCCTACTGTAGCATCATAGGATAAGCACTGGACCTCAAGGTCAGTTTGAACCACGAGGTCGGCAGTTCAAACTCACCATCCAATCCTCAGAAACCCTGTACAGGGTTTCTATGAGTTGGTACTGACCTGATGGCACTCTTGCTGGATATTAAGAGTATTTGAAGCTCTCAGGTGAAGCTGGGATGAGATTGCTGGTCTTGTGAAAGCAAACTCAGAGGCAAAGTCCACTGATCCCTGCTCGAAAGCCCCTGCCCACATACAAACAGGACTAACCACTTATTTTCTTTGGACATTTTCCTAGAGGTGAAGCTAGGAGATCAAAACCCATCAGCATGTTTAACACTTGTTGTTAACTCTTTTTTTTAAGCTTTTATTGTGAATTAACTGATCACTTACTTGGAAGAACGTTGGTTTTGCCCTCATCCTGTTGTATTTTGTTTTATTGCAGTGAATACTCAGGAATATATAACCATTTAAACAATCAAAGGGCACATTCTGCAAGCCTCCCTCTTGGCCGCCAGCACACAGCCTTTCACTTGCCATGAGTTTTGAGTCCTCAATTGCTCTCTCTCTCTCCATGACATCATCTCTGTCTCCATCTCTGGTGTCACTGCTTCTCTGGATAGAGTCCTGCATTCCACTCATGCTCTTCTCCCTTGATGGTCCCAGGGTTCTCTGTTCCTGGACTGAAGATTAACTACTCGCCCCTTTTTGTTACAAAACTTTACCTTTACAGTTGTGACAATCACAATTAGTTATGATAACAATTACTATTGAATCATAAGAATCCTATTCCCATCTCCTTTCACCAGACCTGTCTAGACAAGATGAAAATGATTCAGTGGGGATTCTACCTTCCCGCACACACTCTGAAACTAAACTACCTCATGAAAACTTGTAAGCCAGCCACTTCCTTCTGTTATAGCCCTCCTCCACAATTTTAGATAATCAATGTCTAACTTGACCATCCCTATCAACCCTGTATACAGATGAGATAGGCTTGATCCTTGATACAAAGATTCCTTCCCTCTCAGTTGGTATTTTGAGCTACTACATCCATAAGTATAAGTCAAGTTCATCAAACTATAGCAATTTACATTTGCATCCTTTACCGAATTTCTTTATCTTCCTCTAGTTGATCTCTGGTCATCAAGCCAGCAAAGCTAGGGCAAATAGGTACTATCTGAAAGTTTGGGTGTTCTTGTGTACCTCCCCCCCACTTCATATCAACTGGATGTTTCACTCTCAGCTTTAGCCCTCCATGGATAGATAGGTCAGGAGTTCCCAAGTCTTCCCAAACTTCAGACTAACCAGCCCTTCCTCTTTTCTCATCCAGAGGTTGACAGGAGTCTATGAAACATGGTCGAACTTAGCCCATCTCTTCATTACTGACTTTCACCCACTTCCATTCACATGTAGACCAATGTGGTCACCAGCTAGCTTACATGCCTGTTTGTGTGTTCCCTTTTAGTTACGTCTTGGAGGGGAATTTGTCCTGAAGGGACTTGATTGTGGGCCTTGATGGTTCCCCAGCGAACAGCTTGCTTGTTCTCATAATAGCCAAACAGACTGTTGGTTTTGTTTTTTATTTTGTTTTTTCTTGCTGGTCTTTTCTTTCAGGAAATATCTTCTGTTCCTATAGCTGCTCCGGGCTGATTTGCATGTGTTGACTTTTTTTAACACAATTTTTCCAAATTGCTTGCCAAAGATAATTTTACCTAAACTCTCTCCAGCAAAGCTTACCATTTCTTTTTCATTTTGTTACTGTATTCCTGATATATATATAGAGAGAGAGACTGTTAGAGAGCCGATTGTTTTTCAAGTTCACTTACTCACTTGCTTTTCTTCTTTTGTAGATTGTTTGCACCCTCAGTTCCAGGGATCTGCTCACCCATCACTCTCTTGATAAGTTAGTGTGTCTCATTGTGAACCTACCATTTCTGTAGAGAATGGGTCTATCTGTGGCTGTTTATAAGTGTTTCTGGAATCCTTGGGTGGTATAAATGATTAACGCCTTCAGCTAGTAACTGACAGTGTGGGGATTTGAGTCCATCGAAAGGCATCTCAGAACAAAAGCCTGATGATGTACTTCTGAAAATCAGCTATTAGCAACTCTGATACAGGGAGCCGCCATGAGCTGAAGTCAGAACCAACTCGTTGACAACTGGTTTGTTGTTAGCTTATTTATAAGCATTTGTAGAAGATATGATTCACAAGAACAACATGAAGCAAAGTGTGGAACCCAGGAGAGATCAAAGGATCTGAATGCCATTTTCCATGGAAGGAGAAGAGATTTTCCGGGAGGATTCAGTGGTGAATGTAGCTTGACCACTGACCTTGAACAGCCAGAGATGGCTGGCGAGGGGTAAGATTAGGCAGAATTCCAGTAGGAGAGTGGTATACAATGCATGTTGTTGTTGATAAGTGCTGGTGAGTCAGTTCTGATTCTCATAGTGACCCTGTATAGGGTTTCCAAGGAACAGCTGGTGGGTTTGAACCGCTGACCTTGTGGTTTGCAGTCCAGTGCTGATCCTACAGCTCCACCCCAGGACTCCACAGCATATGTAGGAGTCCTTTTTGGTAGGTGCACATCTACTGGGTTTAGGTCTCAGCAATTCTTCCAAGATGGCACTCATGCTGGGATGCATGCTGGGTGGCTGTGTGCACACTGTCTTGTTTCCACAGGTCTGATTTCAACACTGACAATAGTGGGTTCTCTTGGGACCTGGCCGCCTACTCTTATTCATTTAATTAAATACTTACTCTCTTCAGTAGTGAGCAAGAGCTAAATTGCAAATCATTTTTAACTGTTTATCTATTTGGCAAGTATGTGAAGTCTGCAAACACTTCAAGCAGATTTCTTTCCATGCAAAAGATGGAAGCTGGTGCAACCGTAGGCCAGGAAGGGACTTCTTTACTCTGGAATAAAGAATAGAGGCCCTGGGTGGCACACGTGGTTAAACTCTTGACTACAAGCCAAAATGTTGACGGTTGGAACCAACCCAGAGACACCTTGGAAGACAGGCCAGGGGTCTACTTCCGAAAGGTCACCACCTTGAAAACTCTAAGGAGTCCATTTCTACGTGCACACGTGGGTTGCCATAGTGGAATCAGCTCAACAGCAACTAATAACTCTTCCAAAAGGAACTCAACCTTTGGCTTAGCAGATGAACATACAGTTCCTCCAGAGAATATCCACATTCAAGGTACACCACTCCAGCTATGACAGCTGGTTCTAAACTAGGGACCTACCCAAAGGATAGTCTACCGTCATAATGACCTGTGGCTTCATAAGTAAAGAGAATGAGGAAAATCAGACTCAGGTCCTAGTAATTTGGAAATGAGCCACAGCCAGTATGTGATGAAGACAGGTCAAGATGACTATGTTGTATTTGGAAACTGGGGTAGGAAACCATGAGCCATGTGTTCCTCACAGTAGCAGAAAAGACCAGACAGGGGCAAATTAAAGGGAAGGTAGAGTGGATAGAGAGTGGGAGAAGGCACAGAGAATTAGCAATGGTCATCTGGTCCCTGCAAAGAAGTGGTACCACTGAATTCCTGATTCATTTCCACTCTGAGTCCCAACCACCCAATACGGCAGGTTCATTCCTAGGACACATTACTTTCTACAACGTGTTTCATCCCCGACTTTACCTAAACTGCTGTTGTTAGATACTGTCCGGTTTATTACAACTAATAGAGACCCCATGCACAATAGAATAAAAAATACTGCCTTGTCCTGTGTCTTTCGCACAAGTGTTGCTGTGTTGAATCCATTGTTACAGCCACTGTGTCAATCTGTCTCATTGAGACTCTTCCTCTTTTCCTCTTTTTCTCTTTACCAAGCATGATGTCCTTGTCCAGAGACTCATCCCTCTTGATAACGTGTCCAAATTATGACAAAGTCTCAGCATCCTCTCTCTCAAGGAGGGTTCTGGCTGTACTTCTTCCAAGAGAGATTTGTTCATTCTTTTGGTAGTTCATCTAAACTAGCTTGGGGGTAGTTCTGTTGCTACCTTCCATATGATTCCTATTAAGACAATAACTAAGCTGATGAGATCATCTGAGAGCAAGAGACAGCTTACCACTACTGCTTCTCATTTGAAGGATCTTTCTTGATTTTTTTTAAACCTATCTTAGACTTAGTCACCAGAACAGAAACCCAAGAAAAACCATCTTTCCGTATTTTCCAAAGCTAATAGAAATAGAATATTACCGTGTTGATGAAGGAAGGAAAGCAGGTTTCTTCAACTCAAAAATTATAATTCACTTCCTGTGTTATGAACAAATTTAAATTATTTTTAAAAATGTGTTGCTTGTGGAGTTGATTCCAACTCATGCTGACCCCTTGTGTGTCAGAGTAGAACAGAGCTCTTCAGGGTTTTCTTGTCTTTAGTCTTAACTGATGCAGGTCACTAAGTCTTTTCTTCCACTGTACAGCTGGGTAGGTTCAGACCACCAAACTTTAAAAAGTAGTGGTTTACAGTATTTGAACTAACTACTGAATTGAACCAGATACTCATTTCCAATAAATGAACAGTTAAAAAAAAAAAAACCTTCAGGAGGAACTAGCTGGGTTTCAGGTCACAGTTAGGCTGTTTAGACAGCACTGTTTGGACTTAGATGAAGCTAGAAAGAAAAACATAGCAAAAGAATTAAGCATCAAAAGTAGCTTTGATTAGAAGTGGGTTTTATTTTGTTTTTCCATGAGCTGAGTTCATGTGCCTAGATGCTAAAGATCAAAACATCAAACCCACTGCCTCTGAGTCAATTCTAACTCGTCGCAAGCCTACAGGATAGCAAAAACTGCTCCTGATTAGATTGCAAGGTCAGTTTGAACCATAAGGTCAGTGATTCAAACCTACCTTGGCAACCCTATACAAGGTCGCTATGAGTTGGAACCAACTTGATGGCACTTAACAACAACAAAGTAATAGCCAATAGTGTGGCTTAATGTGCCAGACCGCAAAACCATTTGAACTGCAAGGTTGGTGGTTCAAGCTTACCAGCTGCTCCTTGGAAACCCTACACAGGATCACTATGGGTCGGAACCGACTCAATGGTGTTTAACAACAACAGACTTATTAAGAACAAAGCTTTGGTATTCTGCAAAGTAACATATTGTTTTTGTTTTATTTTGTTTGTTTTTACAAAGTGATAGCATATGAACTTTATAATGATATATATAAAATGAAAATAAAAGTAGGCTTGGGAGTTATGTAACAATAATTGTGATTAAGTCCTTGTCTTACAT